GGTATAAAAAAGTTGACTACCCCTGAGTTCTCTGGACCATAAAGAAGGTTGATCGCCGAAGAATTGATGCTTTTGAATTATGGTGCTGGAGGAGACTCTTGAAAGTCCCATGGACTGCAAGAAGATCAAACCTCTCCATTCTTAAGGAAATCAGCCCTGAGTGCTCACTGGAAGGACAGATCCTGAAGCTGAGGCTCCAATACTTTGGCCACCTCATGAGAAGAGAAGACTCCCTGGAAAAGACCCTGATGTTGGGAAAGATGGAGGGCACAAGGAGAAGGGGACGACAGAGGATGAGATGGTTGGATAGTGTTCTTGAAGCTACCAGCATGAGTTTGACCAAACTGTGGGAGGCAGTGGAAGACAGGAGTGCCTGGCGTGCTCTGGTCCATGGGGTCATGAAGAGTTGGACACGACTAAATGACAAAACAACAACAACAACAACCCCTGGGTTAGTGCAATGACTTTTAGTTGTACAGTGTAACTTCCCTGCCATCTCCTCTCACTGTGAGCCCACTGTGCATCTCCTAAATCTGCCCCAGGGATTACCCCAACCCTCTGAGATAGAGTTAGGGAAGACACAGGGGAGAGGAGAGAGCTTGGAAGTTAAATTGTGCAGCTGAAAAGCATTGAGCTAGCATAACTCTTTAGCTGAACACCACCCATTAAATTTGCAGAATTTCCTTTATATAATTTAGTGTGCAATCCTGTGGTCCTTCTGGGGACATCCCTGGGGTGATAGGATTTGCAGATCTCCCTTTCTACTAGCAGAGATGGTTCTCCACTTGGAGACTCCCTGTCACTATGGAAAGAACCCTTGCTGTTGCTCCACTGCCACAAAATGATGGAGAGAGCAAAAATAGGGACAGTGGATCCCAAACGCTCCTGCTCCCCCAACATGCCCCTGTGGCAGAGGGGGAAAGGATGTCAGCCTGTTCCCTCCAGCTATCCACCATCTTTTGCCTGGCCAATGGTGAGACTGGTGAAACTTGGGATTTGAAATTCCCACCTTCCCAGATTCCTCCTCCTCTGCCCTCATAGGATGGCTGTGATAGCTTTTCTTAAGGCAGTATTATAAGGTTGCCTCTTCCATCAGGTAAATTGCATGTAGCCAACACTTAGATTTACAGTTAAAGAGAGGGAAATTCAGCAGTTATAAGGCCAAAGCAAAGGGTAAAGATGCAATAGGTAGACCCAGGACATTTTTTGTGACAGTACGCACAGGTATGGAGTCCTGCCACTTGTCCCCACCCCCACCCCCGCTCATAGCACCTATGACACATTTATGAATATATGGGTACAACACCTCTTTTTTAAAATCCCCACCCAAAAAGGCATTGCATAACACAAAACCAGGGTGGTCCCCCCTCTCCAAATGAACTAGTGGGCCTAACCATTTCACTACTCATTTTAAATTATATGCATGCCACCTCTTCCCTTTTATCTCCATGTAGCCTCCAGCCATTGTCTGGGGATGCTATTTGTACCTCCCTGCTCACAGGTATTTGAAAAATTGTTTGGGACCTCATTGCTCCACTGTGCAGCAAATAAATTCTTGATGTTTCCCTGGCTAGGAATTTCTTTTTGTGTGTGAAGGTTTATAGTGCAATTTTATTTTAGGGAAACAAACATTTATATATGTTCTCACAGGCCAGCAAGCCTTTCTTTATTCCTCTTAAAGCTTGCAAAGGGCACACCGTATCTGTTGATTTGCCTAAATAATAATTAATCCTACAATGAAAGAGTTAAAATCTTCAAGCACCCTCATATCCTAGGAAGATTCAAACAATTTAACAATCTTGATCCGTGTGGTTTGTAAAAACACACATCTTTGTAATCTTCTCCTGAAACACCGATGCCACATTTCCCCAAGACATAATGAGTTTTAATGGGCCATAAACTGCCACCATCACTAACCTGCAAGCTCTCATTTGCTTAGCACCTGAAATTGTGGATATGGTGTGTAAAGACTTGATGTTCCTCCTGCTCACCATTAAATTTTGAAACCGTTCATATTAATAGCATTTTCTTCCGAAGGTGCATCTTACGTATTATTTCAATCTGATTCCTTGTCTACATCCCCTAGGGATTTATGTAAGTACAAAACTCATCTAAGTTTCTTTCACCACCAAGAAACACAATTTTGATCAGCTTGTATGAAGGAATAATTGGCCCAGTTCAGATAATATTATGGTAGGTTTGCTGTGGCCGCCAAACTACTGCTCCTGTTTGATGGGGATACCATGCCATAACATCTTTAACTGGATTTTCACATGAGTAGGGTTCATTGCACAGCAAACACTCATGGCAACAGCATGAATGAATGGATACTTTCTGCTTTCTGTTTTTGTGAGTATGGATATTTACCATATGATTTAAAAAACACTGGTTATTGCTAATTTAGCTACTGAGCTAAGTTCAAGGTATAGGTACTGATGTGCAAAGCCCTACATAGTTTAGAACCAGGATACTTTAAAAAAAGAAAGAAAAAAAGTCTCACCCAATGAATCACTGCACTCTGCAAGAGATGACTTTCCACAGATACTTGCTCATCAGGTATTCCATTCTGTAAGCTATTGGAATCAGATTTAGTGGCACCTACCTTTTCAAATTCCCTTCCATTGTCTATCATATCAGACAAGTTCTGTCTCTACTTCCTTTTTGGTGGCTACTGAGGACATTTCTTTTTCAACAAACCTTTTAATCGAGAGCTTGACCCCAGCCTCTGTCTTTATCGGATTTGGAATTGTTTTAATATATAGAATTATTTTTAATCGTTTCTACATATGGAGTTATTTCCAGTTGTTTTCATTGTAGATGTTCTTTGCTGTTGAATCACTCTGAGATTTTATGGGAAGTGATTCATAAATGGAATAAAATAAATGAATGAACAATGCAGCTGCTCTTATTATAGTGGAATCGTGACATCTTCATCATGAAGGAGTGTCCCCCCAGTGACTACCACATCACATTTGTATTGTCTGAATTCATTCTTCTTCCTTACTTCTTTTCATTCTCATAGATGGTATTAGTGGACCTTGTATGTGGGATGAATGGGCATTTAGGCCTATAACAAATTCAGTAGCTCCACACAAATGTTAATCTCCAGTTATTTTCCAGACTTGCATTTTCCTATGCCAAATTATATAGAGTTCTAATACTCTGTAACTTCATAATGACCACTGTTCTTGCAGTTGTGATGATGTCACAGAGAATCATGTGACCACTGTAGTCACCTGAGGGCATAACTAACCAAGAATTGTGACAGAGGTTCCATCACAACCAGGGATGGAAAGATCTGTCAGTTTTGGTTCCCCCAGGTTCTCATTTTAAAATCAGTTCCCCAAATTCTGTTATGATGTGCAATTAAAAAATAATAATCATGATGAAAATTCACAAACATTTTAGTGTGAATTCCTCCTAATATAAACATTTGTGTATGCAGTTTTGCCTAATATTCACAGTTTTGCAAAGCAATTCCCCCTAAAATAAGGATATTTTTTTTAATGCACACGTTGCTCCAGCATATGAATTTTTGTACACTTTGCATTAATGGAAAACAGCATTGCAAAATTTGGAAGTCTGCATTTTACGTATTCAAGAAGCATGAATTAGTTTCTCATTGAAAAGCTGTCAAAATCAAATTTCTCCCACATCACTAGTCACAATGTAGAGAACACTGCTAGTAACTTTTAACTAACTAGCTGGTGGGAGTGGAAGATTTAGGCTAACTTGTGTGAGTGTGTTCCACCCCACCCCCAACAGTAAATTGTTCACACTTCATAGCAAATGACATCTGAAAGGCAATTTGTGATATGGTGGCAGGGGGTGGTGGTGGTGGGAGGGCCTGCTTTTTAAAAACAACAACACCAAGCCCCACTGAGCGCTTGCAACACATTTGGCTTGTTAAAAGTAGCTCTCTGGACTGTGGCCAGCATATTTAATATACAAAATGCTGATTCCACTAAGCCCAGCTTATTTTCCCCATATAAAAAAAGGAGCATTTGAAAGGACTTTCCTTGGCATCAGTAACCTCCCTTGAACTTGCAAAGAGCTCAATCAACAGGCACATAATCATTTACAATTATAGGAGTCATTTTTCTCACATAGAGACAGGGCAGAGGCTGAAATGAGCAAGAATTTGTTTGAAAATTGGGCTCTCGGCAGCATTTGAAAGAATCAAATTCAGAGGTGAAAGGCTATCCATGCTCCTAGGCTGCCACTGGTATACATCTGTGTTTCTCCCTTATCAGCGGAAAGCAGGAGATACGTTGCTTCTCTTACATCCAGAGATATTCCAATGTTTATTTTAAAAAACTGACTGGATGCTCCTTTAAATAAGAAAGGCTTTTTTCCTTGAGAAAGAGAGAGAAAAGTTAAGTTTGTAGCTTTCAAAGAAGAAAAGAATGAAAGAATCAAATATGAGTGAGAATCAAATATTTATATGCTTCAAAAGCAAAAGAATATAATTTCAGTGACATTGTTGCTAAATGGCTGTTCTTCACCAGCACTGAGTGACAGATAAAACAGTCTTGTGTCAACTTGTAGTGGCTGCTCATCTCTGTAATTTCTCCTTTGCAGTCAAGACTCTGGCAGTTTTCTTCAGCTGCCTGTGTGGGGTGTCGTTGTGGGGTGGGGGGTGGGGAGCAGCCGGGGAGATTACACTGTCAGGAAGAAAAGTATCAGCCATTAATTCGGTCCTTTGCTGTACTTGTTTTACCGTGGCGGATAGTGGTGTTAGGGATTTGTTTCTGCATCTTGAAAAGATTACACCTAAGAAGAGATAGAATAATTCACCGAAATGGAAATGTTGCTTCCTTTAAAGATTCATGGGGAGGGGAAGGACAGAAGGAAGCGTTTCAAGAATGAGGAACATCTGAGCTCATTGCCCCTCCTCGCTCCTGCTAGGAGATGCCAGTGACTATCACGATGCTCCATCTTACGTGCCAGCCTTTTCAAAGAAGATGATGCAGGAATGATGCTGTGTCTTCTTGCCGCACCGGATGCAAAGATGGGAAGAAGTGGGAAGAGCCTTTCATAGCGAGGCTGCCTCCTGCTCCTCTCCCATTGGCTGAACGATCTGTGCATCAGGATACAGCGCGCCTGGTCCACATGGTTCTCTCCGGCTTCGTGAAGGAGGCGTATCTCCACTAAATCCAGTGGAGCAACATCCTTATGGAAGAAACAAAAACGTACCACATTTTTATACTGCCCTTCCTCTAGAGCACAGAGCAGCATGAAGAGACCTGCCCCTTTATCCTCACAACAACCCTATGAGGTAGGTTAGGTTGAGTGATAGTGACTGGCCTAAGGTCAGGCTTTGTGGTTTAGTGGGGATTTTAACCTGATCCCCTTCATCCCAGATTCAGGTAGGCCACCGTGTTGGTCTGATGCAGTCAAAATGAGAGAGAGAGAGAGAGAGAGAGAGAGAGAGAGAGAGAGAGAGAGAGTCTGGGGGCTTCTGTTTCAGTGTATCTGAAGTAGTATGCTTGCACACAAAAGCTTATACCCAGAACAAACTTAGTTGGCCTCTAAGGTGCATGTCTTTAAGTTAACACCTTACATTAAAAACCTGACAGTACCAAATTATTGAAGGTTATTCACCAAAGCCAGACTAAACGTTATTCCTTCTGCAGTGTTGGATGGCAGGTTGAGAGGAGTTCCCTACCAGGACAGACTTTGCTCGTATGCCCAAGACATCAATTCTATAAAACATTCCCCCCCCCCTTTCATCCCAGTTCAAGTCCAGCATCTTAACCACTGCAACAGTGCCCGTGCACTATTTTGCAAACCTTTTACAATTTTCTGAAGAATTATAGAATTGTTTGGCTACATTTGGCATCATGCATGCTTTGAGTTTTCGGCTTGTAGTCTATACCAAGTGGAGGTTGCCACAGTGCTGTTACACCAGAACAGATGAATTCTTCTGATTGCTTCCACAGCCATGCTGTAAGCTTTAGCATTTTGTTTTTATTCCTTTTCTTATTGCCTTTGCTCCACTCCTGTAACACAGAGCAATGAATCACTAACCACTGGGTATAAATGCATTTGCACTAGCAATGGGCAGGAATTGTGCTGCACCACTGAGCAAGGACCATCAGAGCCAGTCTAGAATTGTATAGCTACACTTGCGTTTCGTTTTCGTTTGTGGATATATTGCAGTGGGTGGTGGTGGAGAGGATCTGCTTCTGGCAAAAGTGAGCATTTCTCCCTTCACTCCTTACTGGAGTTGCACCTCCAATAGCAGATGTGTGATTTTCTTTTCTTTCTTTTTTTGACAGTACAAGATCCAAATCACCATCACACAATTTATTTACTTATTTGAAAATATTTCCCGCCTGCCTTTATGCATTAAAACGAAGCCTCAAAGGACGTTTGCTGCAATTTAAACCAGTACCTAAAAAAACTGTCAACAATTAAAAGAAGAAATAAAAAACTGATATTGTTTGCATGGCTATGAGTTAGTTTGTACATATGTTTGTGATTAATCAAATATGTATGTATGGAAATGGAAAACAGCATAGGAAGCAACATAACAAATAGTGCCCCTCAAAACTTGATTCACCAAAATAGCTTTTAGTTAGTGCCTGTATCTGTTTGAAGTTTAGGAGCACATTCCATATTCTGGATGCCACCACAAAAAAGGCCCTGCACACTTACTATTTAGGCAGCTGATTCACATAGAAGTGCAAATTTAGTCTGGACCTAAGCTGTTTAGATCCTTAACAGTCAGAACCAGCACTTTAAATTGGGTTCAGAAACATACTGGTAGCCAGTGAAGCTCTTTATCCACTGGTAAAATAAGATCAAATTTGCTTGCCCCAGATCTAGAGATATTGTATTCTGTTCCAACTGCATTTTTTCTAAGTGTTTTCAGCAGCAGCAGCAGCAGCTGCAGTATATTCCAGTCATCTAACACCGATGCTACCAAAACATGGATAGACATTGCAGGGGCATAATTGTCTATAATTGGATAAATTCTCTAATCAGTATAATGAAAAACGGAGCTGCAGTTGCATGGTCTGTTAACTTAATGGGACAACACTGGTGCATCCAATTGCTGCTTTTTCTTATAAAACGAAACAAAAAACCAACAATATTTTCAGCCCTTCTGCAGCATGCTCATAACACCCATTCACAACAGCCTTGGAAGTAGAAAATCACAGGTGTTTGTGACATCCACAGTGACAATTAGTCAAGACGACTACATTGAACCTCCGGATTCAGAGACAGTATGCCTGTAAATGTCACAGATGCTGGGGGGAAACAGTCAAGACATCCTTGTGGGCTTCATAGAGGAATATGATCAGCTGCTGTGGGAATCAGGATCCTTATGTTCTCTTCCCTTTTAGCAGCAGGCCTATTGTGTGTTTGAAATCTAAAGAGAGAGAAAGAGAAGAATCTGATTTCTATTAACTCAATATTTTTGGCTTGCAGGAGTAATATGATGGAATTGGCAGAGGTAGCCTGACTTACTTGCTGCGTTTTGCAATGGCTGTGCAGATTCTCTCCTCTTGAGCATGTGGGTGCAAGTCCAATATGCAGAGTTCATTAGAGCCCATGACAGGGAATCTATATGTATTTGGAGTTCTATTCTGCCTTTTCTTAGAGAATGTGTATTGACTGCACATTTGACAAGGAGTAATATCTGAATATTGATCTGGGAATCAAGTAGCAATCTTGAAGGTCAGGTACTAATTTTAAGAGGCAAATATGGATTTTGAGGCCATATATTGAGCTCAGATAAGTATTTGAATCTCAGCAAGGGTACCTAAACCCATCACTTCAATTGAATTGTCTTTCCGTGCATTGCAAGATGGATTTAATATTGTGGGTTGTATGTAGCCATATCCTTAACAGGGAAAGAACATTTCAATATCCTCTTCAAGTTGTCAAGCACAATAGATTCACCTTTTCCTGCAGTTGGTGGATCTCTGTTATCAAGGTGTGGGGAGTGGAAAAAGTCTTTGACATGGTGAACCCATGTCAGTTTGGGGTCCCCCCCCCATGATGCAGATGATAAGAAGGAAGAACTGCTTTTATTACTGAGGTATTATTCTTCATTCAGATACCTCAGCTCAACAAAAATGTGCTTATCCCGCATGGCAACTATAATGGGACACACACACACACACACACCCTCTCAAAAATAGTCAAGTTGAATTTGACTTGCATTAATGTGTACAAAAATATTTAGGAACTGGACACAATGCCAAATATAAATTACACAGCCAGGGCTTCAGCTGTCATGTCAAAATGGTTCTGTGAAACTTTGATGTCATGTTAAGGGATAAAATAATTGAGCATTTAGGAAAACAAGCTTTCCTGACTTGGAATCAGCATGGCTTCTGCAAGGCTAAGTCCTGTCTCACTGACCTATCAGAGTCTTCTGAGAGTGTCAACAAGCATATAAATGGAGGTGATGCAGTTGACTTGGGCTTTCAAAAAGCTTTCGACAAAGTACCTCCCCAAAGACTCCTGAATAAGTTTAGCAGTCATGGAATAAGAGATGAAGTCCTCTTGCGAACCAGGAACTTGTGAAGTAACAGGAAATAGAGCAGGAATAAATAGACAGTTCTCCCAGTGAAGGGATATAGAAAGTGGGGTTTGCTATGTTGGAGACCCAGTACCTTTCCCCTCCCAGACCTGAAGCACATGGAAGTAATGTTTTCAGCACCTGCTGGTGCATCTGAGAGAACATGACCATGTATATAACAGATTATTTAATGTTTCAGATCAAAAATAAATCTCTATATATACCCTGCTGCCTCCTAGTTTTGTTGATCTGATCTTTGGCTAGTGCTGTTGATTTGCAATAGTGTCTGCAATACTGCAAGAGGTCCCCTCTTTGCAGGAGGCCCCTCACCCACTCTCTGACACCCTGATTTGCCCCTGACTCTCGAGACTGCTAATGTACTTGGTATTCTAAAATCTGCATGCAAGTCTGTGGCCTGTATCCTCCTGCAAATATCCCCTCACGTCTGCCCTCGACCAATATACCACTGCGGTGCTGCAAGGCTTATTTACATTCCAGCTTTCAAAGGACAGTTTTCTACCCTGCGGATCCTGAGTCCATCTCAGCATTCCATTTCTTTTAATGATGAAAATGTCCACTCCCAGAGCCATAAAAGAAGTGTTATCTCATTATTATATCTTTTATTGGAAGGGCAGGGTTTATGGGGTGCTGCATCAGACTAAAGTGAATTGAATTGAACCCCTCAGTCACTTGGTAGCTTTTTGCTAGCCAGGATCCCCATGTATTCAGTGAACTTTTAAAATAAAAAGTCATGTTTCTTCCATTGTCTCTTTTCTCTCTTCTCAGTCTCTTTCAGTGAGATCTGAAAAAGATTTTGCTAAAGCAATAGAAAAGCTGTGGCAGCCTCTAGTTAAGGATGGGGGAACTGTATATTTATGGTCTATGTCACTTTTTGCATGTTTTTACTCATAATTCCATTCTTTTTCCTGCATTAATTATATTATTATTATTATTATTATTATTATTATTATTATTATATTTTATTTTATTTATACCCCACCCATCTGGCTTCCAACACACACAAAATTAATAATAAAACATCAAACATTAATAATAACAATCAGATCCTATAGAAAAAGTCACAATAACTTTAAAATAAACAACTTATACCAAATAAAGCAATATGCAATAATGCATTAGAATTCAATAGTAAACACTAAAATTAAACATCAGCAAGTAATAATTAGACAGTTTACACTTATTACAATAAAGAATTACTCATTTATAATCATTTAAAAAATAGCAGCAAATCATAATACATTAAATTACCACAAATCATATGGATTAAATGAAGAAACAAAGGCACACAACTTATAAAATTATTTACAACAAAACAAAAAACAAGAAAATTTAAAGAAATCCACTCTCTCTATATATATTACTATACAGCGGAAAGGAGCAGCCAAGCATACTAGGACTCAATTTCTTGACTTTAAGAAAGCCGACTTCATAAAACTTAGGGAAGTGCTGGGTGAGATCCCATGGACAGTAATACTAAAAGGAAAGGGAGTTCATGATGGCTGGGAGTTTGTTAAGAGGGAGATACTAAAAGCACAACGTCAGGCAATACCAATGAGACAGAAACATGGAAGGTGCCTAAAGAAGCCAGGGTGGCTATCTAAAGAACTTTTAACTG